CAGAAGCGATCTGGCGACAGGTAAGTCGCCAGGATCGCTTCTGTTGTAAAGCCGACAGTCGGCTCTACAAGTTTAAACAGAGTCCCGGCGGCAAAAGTCGCCGGGAGTCTGTTTAAACAGCCCCGATGCTGGCGACGTACACTGTACGTCGTCAGTCACGAAGGGGTTAAAGGCCAAAATCGTCTTTAATTATATGTGATATATGCATATATAAATTCTTATTTTTTAGTAAAAAAAAGCAAAATAATGGGGGGTAAAAACATATTTTTCACACCTTTGGCAATAATAATGTGTGCTTAACTAGTGTAGCTTACAAAAAGTAATTCATAATAAATTATTTTATTTGTCCTAATTTAAAGGCAGGGCTTGAAAAATTTTAGGGTGTCTCACTAGTCAGTCAAAAATTTCACCAGTCAGCATGACCAGACTATTATGTTATGTTATGTTAACATTTGTTAGGGACAGATAGAGCTTTCTTTTGGAGGTACCATCAATTTTTGGGGAAAATTTTTTTCCCCCCTACGTTATGTTAAAAAAAACATTTATTCTTACCAATATTTTTGGTAAAATATAAAAGACGGGGTCACGTCGGGTAAATAGACACCAAACATGTCAAGCCTTAAAATTGTGCCCGCCTGCAAAATCACAAAAAAATGACCACAGTGAATATTGGCCATAGGCGATGCTTTAAGTGTTATCAGTAAAATTATTGCCCTCACTCTGACGTTCGCGGTGATATGTAACATGTGCGGCACAATAGGCAGAATCGTCGTTTTCGCACGTAGGCACACCCGACGCATGTTTGCGTGGGGAGGGGGGGGGGACTTAAAAAAAATTATTTTTTTTTTGCTTCTTTCATTTTTGTATTACTCTTTTGTTTTTACACTTAATTTTAATGCTTCCACATGGGGAGGCTAAGATGCCCCCTATGTGATAGCCAGTTTACATGACAGGTCCTCTTTATGGAGACATCAGGGGTCTCCTTGAATGTAAAGCTCCCGGCCGGTCGGGAAGCTACTCATCCGGCTCCGCCGTCCTCATCACAGACGAGAAGTCGAGCGGATTTTTCAAGCCCTGTTTATAGGGTATATTATATGTCTGGGATTTCAGGGTAAATCATATGTTTGGGGTTTATTTTGGGAGTTATAAGTCATAAAATACAAGAGTGAAACGTACTATGTCCTCAAGTTCTGAATGAGCAGGAACACTCCGTATAGAGGATTCCTGTTCATTGATAACAGGGGCTGCAGAAAAAGACATTGAGGACTCCGTGTCCTCAATCTCTTTTTCTATTTTAAAAGGGAAATATCAGGGGTCTGTTTAGTCCCCCATTATTTCCCTGAAGCCCCTAAAAGTATATAAGTAAATAAAAATATTTAATATAAATAAAATATAAAAAAATTAAAAAGTTTATTTTAAAAAAAAAAAAAATATTTGAGAAAGTTAAAGTAAATAACATTTCTGGTTTCGGCCTGACATTTTTTTTCCATTTTCGGTTTTGAAATTTTCATTTCGGTGCACCTCTAGTTCTAACCATTGGATGGGTAATGCTGAGAGACTGACCACTCTGTTAGTAGGCCAATTGGGCTAAGCACAAGGAGCTACCTTATTTGGTAAGATCATTTGGCACCTTCATGTCTCCACTTTCTACCGGTTCTAACCATTGAAGGGGTAATTCTGAGAGACTGACATCTGCTGGATGGAGTGTCACACTGGTGAGCTTCCTCTGACAGCTGCTCCTGCAATGCAAAGAGGCAAATGGAATTCGTTGCGCTCCTGATAAAGTCCTTCAAGTAACTTCAGTCAGCTCCGTCTTTTGACCCTCACCTGCTACTAGCAGTTGGGTTTGTACCTGAGGCTTGGCCTCATGCATATAGTTTTCATTGCCTTAACACCATGCAGTTGCAACATATCTTTATCTAGACACGGGGAAAATTCCAATAGTCCTGGGTGTCCCCCCAGGTCACACTGTAATAACGGTAGCATGCTCACTAATGTGCCAAAGTCTGCAGCCCCATCAGTGTGTCACTGACCCGAAGAAGGTTTGCCGTATGAGAGTTTAAACTCATTACAATCTACTGGTTGCGTGCTTGTTCGAGGTAAGTAACTTAAAGGACACCTTTTAAGTGAAAGCAGTCTTATTTTATTGCAGACATGGAGTCGGCTAGCTGCTTTTTATTCTGTGCACGCACACCAGGACCCGTTCTTTTCTATACGTAGCTGTACTTATGCCAGTGGTCGCACATGTGCAGATTAAAACGGAGTTGTCCGATTCCACGTTGCAGTAAGGCCCCATTCACATGTAGGGACTTATCGCGCGAGGTCGCCGGCTAATGATAGTCAATGAAGCTGTCTTAGCTCCATGTCGCAAGTCGCTTCTACAGGACCCTTTTTTCGGCGGATTTTGCGCGATTCTGCTTTTTTCTATGGAGCCCGACGGAGAAGGTCGCGCTACCGTCGCTGGAACGTCGCCCCGAAAGTCGCGCTATCCCGGCTGCTGCAAAGGTATGTCGCTACATGTGAATGGGGCCTAAGATCACTGGATCAGCGGTGGAGGCAAGTATAAGCCCAGGCTGCCTGCTCTCAAGGTTGTTTTATTTAATAGGTATTATGTGGGTCATTAGGATGTCCCTGAGACCTGCACTTTTTAAAGAATTCAGCAATGGCTCCTTCCATATATGATTTAGATGTTGTTGATGTTGTTTTCCAGTTTCTGACAAATTAGCTGATTGTTCATGTATGTTTCCTTTTTCAGGCTCTACAATCATACTCGCTTCACCTGTTCAGCCTGTGTTACAGGGTGTTATGAGCATGTTCCCGATTTCATTGGTTGGTCAGGGTGGCACCACTTTTACCACACAGCCACATCAGGTAATACTAGCCTAATACCTACAATAAACTTGTAGAATAAAGCATTAATGTGTTAGTCTTACTCGACTGCAAAGACATAATTTTGTAATGTAAACCACTTAAAGAAGAACTCCAGGAAAAAATGTATTAAGACTTGCAGTGGGGCTACCCCTGCCCTGCAAGGGTTAACTGCTCATTTGTGTCTCGGTTAAAAAAAATAAAATTATACTGGATTCTCTGAGTTGGCTTGTTCTTAGACCGGTCCTTCCAGTCTCTCTCCCCCTCCTCTGCAGCAGTGTAAGGTCCCATAAATCATTACGCCTATATACAGTGTGATGAAGATTCAGTTGCTGCAATGGAGGAGGAGACAGGCTGGAGGGAGCACTGGGAAGCTGCCTGGCTTGGAACTTCAGGTGAGTATAACTTTTTGTTATTTTAGCACGTAGACAAAAACGAGCACTTAACGCTTAAGCTGGCCACACACCTATAGATTATCTGCAGATTTTTTACGGTCAGATGGAAAAAGTGCAACAGATTCCTCCATCTACGCTAAACTGTGTGGATGGAGGAATCTCCCTCTGGGCCAAGCTTCAGTATCTTGCTAGTTGGCCCCGCTGGCTCTCAAAATACCGGAACAATCTGATTGGATGCAGGCATTGTTCAGGTGTTTTGAGAGCCAGCGGGGCCGACTAGCAAGATACTGAATCTTGGCCCAGTGAGAGTTTCCGTCATCCACACAGTTTCGCGTAGTTTAGCATCTGACCATTTAAAATCTATAGGTGTATGGCCATTTTTACAGTGCAGGGGTGGCCCCACTGCAGGGTTAAAATAAGTTTTCCTGGAGTTCTTTAACTATTCTTTTTATCCATGTATATTCCGTTAGTAGTTCACAAAGAGAGAGTTTCTACTTAGAATTTCACTTAAAGTAAACCTGTAAGAAAAAAGTACAAATACAATTGTGCATGTGATTAAAAAAAATAATTTCCAGCAAGATAATGCTCCTTACCATACTGCCAAAGCTGTGAAGTAGTGGTTTTCATCCCATCATATTAGTGTTATTGACCAGCCAAGCAACAGGCTGGAGCTAAACCCCACTGAAAAGTGCAAGACTGTGATGGAAAAGAGAGACTAAGAAGCAAGAACTCCTAGAATCCATAATAAAGTGCTGGTCTCATAATACTCCAGAGAAACTTAAACATGTAGTGCATTGTGTGCCAGAAAGGTACAAAGCTGTGCTTGCTTCAATAGACTATCCAACCAGACATTTAAATTTTTGTACATAAAGGCGGGAATCATTCCTGTTTGAATATACAGTATATGATAATAAATGGTATTCTACACTAAATTTGGAATAAAGTTATATATAACATGATGGTTTCAGCACTTGTGAATGTATCACTCCAAATTTGACACATCCTGCATTTTTCATAGGTGTCCACACTTTTGGTAACTAGTGTAGCGGCTCTTTTGTCTCAAACTGATAATAGCATGCATCTTGTAGCATCTGCTCTTAGATAGAATGAGGATTTTTCTGTCTTGTACACTGATGGACACAGGAATTCAAACACAGGTGCGGTATACTGCCGCCTACAGGAGTTTAGGACACTGGCAAACAAACCGAAGCCAGTTCCCAGTATAATTCTTCCTGGGTTCTCTGAGGAAGCTGGCACCTGCTATCAAGAACCTGGTACACCTATTTTTATAGGATCTGAATCCTCAGCTCCATGCTCTGTTCTCGGGGACTTCTAGGTTATCTCAGAATATTTTGTCCATGTGCAATCATTTCCTCATGCACATTGACCGAAGAGGCTCTCAACAAGCTCCATCATCTTCCCCTGCAGTGTCTGTCTCTGACGCTGCAGAGGCCTTCTATAACGCTGGACCACTGGTGTCAGTGACCATATCTGATAAGTGCCAATAGTCTATTTCTGAAGAGACTGTACTTGAGGCACAGCAGTCTCCTGTCATCACCTTGAAGAGTTACAGGGGGTTGCGTCAGTGGCACCATGCTTGCGCTGCTGGGACATATCTTTAAAAGCATCTGACTCGTGGACTTTGAAAGAAATCACCTCATTAGCCCTGCGCTTGACACTGAGTCAGTAATTTCAGAGAAGTCAGTGTGCGCTCCAGCCTTAATGTCGGAAGTCTAGGGAGTGGTTGGTTGAGGCCAGAACCTCTGAGCCTGACTCTCACTCAACCAAGAGGGCTCGAACTCCGAGGTCAACTAATCCCTCTACATGAAGGTGCCACCCGCTTCTGTAAGTGGGGAGCTTATTGTGCATTCTGGTGGGCCCTTGAGCAGCTTCCTTCTCCAGCACTCACATCCAGGGTTTATTACTTGCTTCTGGGGGCCCCTTCAGTTGCCCTCCATTATCTCCGCGTTGCTACTGCACAGGACCCTGCACCTGTTTTTGTTCATGCTCTTAGTACTGCTTTACCACGAAACCGAGGCATGTTGGGTAGAAGAGGGGGGGGCTGGCTTATGTTTTTTCTGTTTGTCAATGTCCAGTCCTACTTTAGGCAGCAGTATAACCCAATTGTATCTGAATTCCTAAGTCGCTCAGTGGACCCAGGGATTGCAATGTCTTCCTTATATTGTAAAGCGCTGCGCAAACTGTTGGCTATATAAATCCTGTATAATAATAATCCCATTTTGACTGGCCATCATTCAAATGTCTTTTGCACTATTTTATTAAACAGGATGCTTACACTAGTTTATAATTAGCAGAGGATGTACAGGTACAGCCTATTCAGCAACGTTAGTACGTAAGGAATGGTTATTCAATTATCAAACCACGCAAGAATCAGCAACTTAGATTTAGTGTTTTTGTTTGTTTTGTTTTGCAACGTCTAAATAAGGTTCATACTAATCTGTATTTCTCGGTCTTCTAGATTCTGCATGTTCCCATCTCTAAACCTGTGGTTCCTAAACTTCCTCTACCTCCAAAGTCTCAGAAATCTCTACCAAAATCTTCTGCAAACACAGGTATATACAAGATCTTCTTGCCAGAATAACAAGATTCATTACACTAGAGTAAGCTGACGTTTAATCTGCTTGTATTTGCCCTCATTGTTCCTCCTTTACCTCCTCATCAACTTGTTGAAATTTTAAAATAAAACCTTTCCGTTTCCTGGTCCTCTATGATTGAAAAAACTGAATTCCTATGAATGAAAGGGTAGGGCTAGGGACGGTCTGGCTGCTGGATGTCCTGTAACCAGGAAATGAGGTGGGTTCTTTCTATGGAATAATCTTCATTATTCTATTTCATGTACAGATTTCATCCGTTTTTGCATCTCCCCAATTTTATTCTGGCTTCTTTGCAAGCCAATTCCTATCCATGTGCTTGTTCTTCAGCAGCATCTGCATGTCATTGCTTAGAACCGTTGTCCTGATGGTGACAGTGGTAGAACATCCCTGAACAATCTGCTTTGGCATGGCCACGTATACTCTCCATCGGTAGCACTTAGATGCAATAGAAAATCAATTGGGAGATGGGAAACAGAAGGGAGTCACCGCATAACAGGAAGAGTCTAAAAAAGACCTTAATAGCAGGTTCATCAGTTACTATTTTAATGAAAACTGCAGATTTAAATCGAACATGTGCTTGGTCTATTCAGGGAAAAGCACCAAGTTCACTTTTTTTTTTTCAAATTCTTTATTTATAAAGGCAAGCAAGGCACACACCACAGATACAGCCAACAAGTTCACTTTTTTATTGTCCCCTTCTCAGCTGCATTTCTCTGCCTTTTTATCTCCCCCACTGCTCTGTCTAGCTGCCGGTAGAGAAGAATCCCGTGTAAGGTCTAAGTTGATCAAGTGGAGCTTATGCAGTGCCGAGGACTCTCCTCACTCCGTGTGACTTGAGATAGTGCCTCATGATTGGCCCATCACTGTCACACGCTCCTCCATAACTTGAAGTACCGGGTATTTCTCTCCCGTTCATTGAAGGACACAGGGAACAGATCGAAGATCATGTACTGTAGGGTAATATCGCCACCTGCAGGAAAAGGACGCTAGGCACAAAAAACTAAAGACCAATTACAGCCTAGGGGCTGCCCCTGCTGGTGGCCAAACCCCCCACCTGCTGACAAGTCTCCAGTTTTTTGCCTAGCGTCAGGAGTAAGGAGCTAAGAATTTTATCTCATCACAGTCTCCCCTGGTGCCTGCGGGGTCTTTGGGGGTCCGCTGGCGCAATGTTGTCTGTGGAGGTTTTTTCCTCCACTATGGACAGGTTTATGTCCCGTGTGGAACGTGCGCTGGCGCAGCGCCTTCCACGGAAGCACGTTTTGCCGGCTCCCTCCCCGGTCCTTTCTGGGGATTCTGAGGAAGTGGGGGGAAATTTCTGCTGCGGCTGCGCAGCCCGACCTGGGGGACTCCTCCCAGGCGGAGTCTGGTAGTGAGGACGAGTCGGGGACTGCCCTTATGGTCCAGGAGCGCGAATTGGTCGCAGCCTTAGTTCGAACTCAGGGCCGTTGGTCGGCGGAGGAGTCTCGGCTTTCGATCGATGTGCTGGAACTTCGGGCGATCCGGGAGACGCACGTTCCGGCTCTCTCCGCCGTGTACATTCCGGGTGTGGAAAATTGGCAGGCCGACAATCTGTCGCCAGTCGGTGGACCCGGGGGAATGGATGCTGCATCCGGGCGTCTCGCCTTGATCGGTTCGTGGCCTGTCGCTCCGTCCGGATCTCCTGTCTCAGGGTCCGGTGTTCCATCCGTCTTTACCGTCACTGGCTTTGACGGCGTGGCTGTTGAGAGCCAGGTGTTGAGAGATCGTGGTCTCTCGGATGCGGTCATCTCTACGATGTTGCGGGCTCGCAAGCCTGTGTCGCGTAGGATTTACCACCGCGCATGGAAGGCTTATTTCGCCTGGTGTGAGTCGGTGGGGTTTCCGCCTCGTTTGTTTTCCGTTGCCAGAATCCTTGCCTTTCTACAGCGTGGTGTGGATCAAGGATTAGCCTTGAGTACGATCAAGGGCCAGATTTCGGCCTTGGCTGTCCTCTTTCAATGACAGCCTCCAACGCCTTCGTTCGCACTTTCGTGCAGGGGGTTACGCGTATCGTTCCTCCTGTTCGCTCCCCGTTGCCGCCGTGGGATTTGAATCTGGTGCTCTCGGTGTTGCAGGATTCTCCCTTTGAGCCTCTGCGTGAAATTCCGATTCTGACTCTGTCTCAAAAAGTGGCCTTTTTGGTGGCGGTCACCTCGGTCCGCAGGGTTTCGGAATTGGCGGCCCTCTCTTGCTCATCCCCGTTGCTGGTCCTGCACCAGAACAGGTGGTTCTGCAGCCCCGGCCGTCCTTTTTGCCGAAGTTGGTTTCGGCTTTCCATCTCAATGAGGACATTGTCTTGCCTTCCTTGTGTCCGAAACCCGTCCACAGGAAGGAAAAGGCGCTACATTGTCTGGATGTGGTCCGCGCCATCCGTGTTTATTTGAGTGCTACAGCTGCCTTTCAGGAATCTGATTCCCTGTTTGTCGTTGCGGATGGGCCTCGGAAGGGCCAGGCTGCCTCGTCGGCCACCATCTCTCGCTGGATTCGCGACGCGATTTCGCGTGCGTATGCCATTAAGGGGCGTGAGCCTCCTTTTTCTGTTACGGCCCATTCTACAAGGGCTGTTGGGGCATCTTGGGCGTTTCGTCATGGTGCCTCCGTTTCTCAGGTCTGTAAAGACTTGGTCTTCTGTTCACGCTTTTGCCAAGTTTTACAAGGTGGATGTTTGGCATCTGCGGATGCTGGTTTGGGGCGCAAAGTGTTGCAGGCGGCCGTTTGAGGGGAGAATTGTTGTTTTTAGTTGGGTTGTTGTTTTTCGTTTGACCCACCCCTCTTTTTTGGTACTGCTCTGTGACGTCCCTACAGTACATGATCTCCGATCTGTTCCCTGTGTCCTTCAATGAACGGGAGAGAAAATAGGATTTTGGTACTCACCGTAAAATCCTTTTCTCTCCGTTCATTGAAGGACACAGGGCCCGCCCCTCTGTGTGGGTGTGTACTCCTTTACTGCTTGTTGCTAAACTGGAGACTTGTCAGCAGGTGGGGGGTTTGGCCACCAGCAGGGGCTGTAATTGGTCTTTAGTTTTGTGCCTAGCGTCCTTCTCCTGCAGGTGGCGATATTACCCTACAGTACATGATCTCCGATCTGTTCCCTGTGTCCTTCAATGAACGGAGAGAAAAGGATTTTACGGTGAGTACCAAAATCCTATTTTTCTTTGCTGCTGAGGCCTGAACTGAGTGATGCGGGCGCATGAAAGGTGAACAAGTGCTACTGCAAAGGAAGGGGGCGTCACAGCATTGGCAAAACAAACTTTTGCTTTAAATTAATTGAAAACAACTCTTGAAATGATATAAACTCGTTAAAGTCTGAAATTTCAGTGACTGTAGTTCTTCGTAAACAGAATAACAGACACTGCTAAGAAAAATAAACGTATCTGACCACTGTACTAACCTTTAGCTGTCTGCTCAGGGTTTTTACTATAACTGCATTGAAAAATGAAATTGTATTGTCTAATGATTATTTTAACCTGTTCTCCGATTTTAGGTAAACCTTTGACAAACCCGGCGGCTGATTCCATGAGCCGACCCTCCGGTTTAGTGCAGAGGTTAGTGTTTTGGCAATTCTTTGTATATCTCCCCCTCCCCCCTATATACTTTGCGGAAAGCTGACTTCATTATATCACATCACTTCATGAGCATACTTCTTAAAATCTGAATTATTTATTTTTTTTGCTAGAAAATGACTTAAAACCCCTAGAACATTATATAATTTCTGAAAGCAGAGGCCCTGTAGAATAAAATTATGATAGTTGCAATTTTTTATGTCTCACAATATTGTGCAACTATTTATGATAGCTATACGTTTCATAAAAAATGCACTAAAATAAATTGAATGCACACAAACACAAGATAATCCCCATTTTTTTTTATTCATAATGTAAGATGAGGTTGTTTTGAGTAAATTGATGGGAAAAATATCAAACCTCCAAATTCCTAACAATGCTTTTACAGCTCATCAGTTTAGAGTTAAAGGTAAGGCATCATTCACACCTGCGAAAGGGGCCGTATTGGACAGATGGGCTCTTCTGAATTCACATTCTCACCATCCTGATAGTGTTTGTTGTGGTCCCGGGCTCCCAAGAGCCTACCAACCTGGGAACCATGGTGTGGACAAGTCCTGTTAGGGCTTGTTCACACCATGTTTGTTCATTTGCATTCTGCAAATTGCACATATATGGTGCGAACAGGACACATACAAAGCAATTGTTTTGTATGTACCCTTTTCACACCATACATGTGTGCAAAAAATGCAGCCCAACAGACATGGTGTGATCAAACACAGGGCCGGCCTTAGGCCTTTAGGCGCCCTGTGCGAGAAAGCTTTACAGCACCCCTCAGTGGCCACACCCATTTCTCCAATATCCGCACCATTTAAAGACTCCCATTTTGTTAAGCCCCAAAGAAACATTAAAAAGTATGATAAAAATAAAACATTTATTCAAAGGTAATAAACTTGTAAGCATAATATAAGTATTGCTTTTAAGTAAAACAACTGTAGGCAAACAATAAATGTCAAGCTAAAATAGAGTCTATAAAAGTAAAGTGTCAGCATGTCATGCAGACCCTTTTTTCAAGTAAGTGTATCTAGAAAAGTTAAAAATAGAAAACAAAACACAGACTATATGTTAAATTAATGAATTACCATTTGCCCGAATATACAAAAAATATATTCAGGCACATAATTTGTTTGAGAATGCGGCCATTTTGGCCACCGGTGCGTTCTGCGAACAATCTTGGAGGCGGGGAGCATGACATCACATGATGCCATGCATGCATGGCGTCATGTGAAGTCACACGCCGATATAGGCGCCGCCCTCTTAGTGTATACCTAGATATACACCAAGATGGCGGCGCCCAACATGATGACCTCATGCGCCCTGCCTCCAGTACATGCCAATGGCTGAATGCAGCCTCAACACTCAATGAATGGGAAGCACTCAGTACAGAAGCCTCCCGTTCCATTCAGAAACTGATGATAGTAAAATATTTACTATCACCAGTTAATGAATAGGCAGGAGTAGTGAGTGCTGCTCCCCATTCAGAAACTCATGAACGAACAGGAAGTCACATCCTGTTCATTCATAACTGGGGACACATAGAACTATGTGTCCCCAGTTATTTACAGATTCAGAAATCAAAAGATCTCGCTGCACTCCTTACCGGAGTCAAAAAGACCCGTACGGACGGGTGGGTGCTTGTAGTGGCCACGGATGGCACCGTGAAAAGATCAGATAGAAAATAGCGTCACCAGCACTCCAAGGGATAATAAAGCAATAGTCCATTTATTGGCACATTGCCATTCAAATGCATTTGCATGGCAATGTGCCAATAAATGGACTATTGCTTTATTATCCCTTGAAGTGCTGGTGACGCTATTTTCTACCCAGTTTTTTACAAACACTGGAGTGATCAGACGATCACTCCAGTGTTTGCTCTGCACACAGAGGATCGGTAATTATCACTGATATTTACCGATCCTCCTCTCGGCCACGCACAGAGCCGCTGTCATCCTGACAGCGGCTCTGAGGGAGCGCTATCATGTTGGATGGCCGAGCGTTAAGGAGGAGAGATGCCGTTCCGAGGACGAGCTGTGTCGGCCGCCTGGGCCTAAGGCCTTGTTCATACCGAAAGTGCGTGCGTTCCAGAGCGGTAGCTGCTGGAACTCACCGCAATCGCTAAGAAACTTCTCTCTGCGTTTTGGGGCGGGAGGGGGCGTGGCAGTGCATTGAATTCAATGGCACGCGCTTCCACGCCCCCCGCCTGCAGTGCGTTCGAACGCGTGGCAAGACTTTGTCAGTGTTCCGTTCCACTGCAAACGCAAAAAATAGGGCTTGCTTATCGCTTTCGGTGTGAACATGCCCTGAAAGTGATTCAGCTGCCCAGATCACTGTTCTTTAAATTCCCAAGCCTGCTACAGCTGTGAGCTTGTTTTGACCCTTTTAAACCTGGGCCTATAAGATGCACCACGCCCAAAAACCTGAACTGGTTAAAAAGAGTGTTCCTTTAACTTTTTTTTACAGAGAAAATGAGGAGAAGAATTCCACCTCTGTGATTGAGCAGAAACCTGATGAAAGAGCCTTACCAGAGACACTAAATGCTGTGTCCAAATCTGTGGAAGCTCATAGAAGAGTGCTTTGCTTTGATGGGACTTCAATGCCACTTACCTCTAATTCTTCATCCACATTAATTGCAAAAAGTCAAAAAGACAAGGATGACACTATACAAATTGATTTGACCTCCACAGAAGCGGTGTCTTCTAAACTCAACTTTTCCAAAGAAACTAGGAAAACAGAAAGTTCAACTTCTTCAATAGGGAAGAGTTCCAAAGTGGATATGACAGCGGTACAGGCAAAAGATCAATCTGTAGAAAAGAGGCCCACAAATTTAGGCGATGGGTATGGTGTCAACAAGGAGAACGTGTTGCAGGTAAGAACACAAATTCACTCAGCAGGCCTAATAGAGAAAAAAGCTTCGGGTCAAGATAATATACGCACAGAGAAAAACGGAAAACCTCAGGAACCTATTAGAAAACAGACTTCACTGCCTAACATTCTGAGGAGGACACCCCAAAAAAAGTCCTCTATAGATAGAGTCTGTTCCACCAGCCCTCTAGCAAAACAGGCTAGTCAGCTCTTGCAAGACATGCAGTTTCATAGTCCAAACACAAAGCCACGGTCCACTGGAGATGTACCACGAACACCAGGATCAGGATTGGAGGATAAGTTAGCAGATAACAATTCTGACCACACACGTACTCCCACGTGCCGGAATTACAATGAGGATGGAGGGACACCCAAACCTATGATGCCTCCTGCAACGCCAGACCTGCCCACATGCAGTCCTGCAAGCGAAGCTGGTAGTGAGAATAGTGTCAATATGGCCGCCCACACACTAATGATTCTGTCTCGGGCCTCTATTGCAAAGGCTAGCAGTAGCACACCACTGAAGGACAACACCCATCAGTCAAAACCATCCAAAAGTACCGCAAAGAAAAGACGGCTTGAGGATTCTGATGAATATGAACGGCGGTCACATAGAAAAGAGCTGCTGAGCCCCTCAAGTTTGCAAAAAAAGAAAAAAATGAAGGTGGGTCATTACCCAGCTAATAATTCAAAGTGTTTTCATCTTATGTTATTGTCTTTCCAGTGCGCTGCCCAGAATGGGTTTTGTGCTCAGTGCTTGTGAAATCCCCAGTACTAAGTGTTAGGCCCGTTACCACCAATGCACAGCGGTAACCTGTGTTGGTGCGATGCAGCGCCTTTTTTGTGTGTGTGCATTAGACAGCGCATTTATTTGAATTGGCCGCCTTAATGCAGCCCACATTAACATGCATGCGCTAACACAGCACAAAGGCATGAACCAGCCTTAGAACCAGTTTTAAAGGGTAGCATGCGTTCAGGTACATCTAGCCTACGTTTCTTATCACTGAGAAACTTCTGTATTCAATCACAATTCATTGACAGGTGACATTTGACCTCCAGTCGACCTACATTTGACCTGCTTCAAACTGTTTTTGCATTCCCATAGACCTGAATAGAGAGAAAAGCAGTTCTCGTGTGATCAAAGCTCAAGGACACTTAGAGATGAGGGTAAACATTTGATTTTGGGAGTCAGGTTTGAGAGCTGGTTCAGGATTGGGGCTTTATTTTGTAAGTGTATTTGTATCTAGATAAAATGTTTTTAACGCTTGCCTTGTAATTTGTTAGTTGTTACCATTTTTACCCAATCTCTGCCATGAAAGAGAATCCAAAAATTATCCCATTCAAGGCAAAGCAAGAGGTTCTCTTGAAGAAAAAATAAGCCCTTCACCCCCCACCCGCTGATATACATTGGTCACTGTATTAGTCCTTGACAGCACCTTCTCTTCATATTGGTCTGCGGCACCAACCCCGTTCCCTGTATATTAGTCTGTGACATACAGGAAAGGTGGAGGGGTTGGTAATATCAGGATCTCAATGTATGTCAGCCTGAGACCCCACTTGCATACCACCACTGGAAGGATGGTTAATAACCCTGTCCCCCTCCTTGTTTTCCCAGAAGCATCGGAAGAAGAGCTCAGACAATTTCCCAGCTGGAATGGATGTTGAAAAATTCTTAATGTCCCTTCATTACGACGAGTAGTTTGGACTCTGACATCTACCTGCACAAAGTACCTTATAGAAGCAGTCTTGCTAAATATATAATATGTATAGATATGTATGTAAATAGACCTGTGACCTCTATGGGGTCATGTGTTTTGTAATATGTAAAATGAAGGCACTTGCTTTGTTGCTGCCATGTTTGATTGAGTTGTATATATTGTATACATGTGACGACAAGCAGATAATAAACATAGAAGTACATATATTATGCAAAACAAAAATTAGTTTTGAATAGAGTAGGGAAGGGTTGTTCTCTTGAGGAAATCTCCCCAACATGAGATGAATCCTTCTCTTAGACAGTTGTCACTGGAACATTTGTCCCCATAGGAGGATTTCTCCTCATCTTTTGCTATCGTCACTATGATATAACGGAGAATGGAAATCCTGAATGTTATTGTTTTGGCCACAATGGTCACCAGGACAAATAGAGAGATTGAGACTGTGATAAAAACTTGGCAGATGGTCTAACCTTTCCCTGCTCTATCCAAAACTACAAAAGTTTTACCTATACATACACATTAAATACAACACAGGAGAGAAAAAAAGGATACAAAAAGGCACTGCTATCTCCCAGGGATTGCTTGGTTGCAGCACATTCTCTTTGCTGAAATTATACCTCAATAGCAATCCTTATAACAGCACTCACCCTCTACCCTCCTCTTCTATAATGTTTACACAAATCATCTCTACAATGTGTCTCTTCAGCTCCCCCTAAGTAACTTCCGAACATCTTTGAGTGAAACATCTACAGTTATAGTCTGTCTTTGTTGTGGGAACAACCCATTCTTGCATCAGAAATACTGTTCTCATCTCCAGATATGTCTCCCCCAAACACTTCCTCTTCTCTTTAGCCCGGCTGTGTCTGTTGCTCCAAAGATCAAACGCTACAACTTCCAGGTTGTAGGCTTGGTACCAGACTGTTAACAGGAATATGAATAACGGAAACAGTAAAAGCAACCTTTTCTTGCTTAGTAGTTTGGCCCATAGAGGCCTTACAAGGCAATTTCCTGATACCTTATATATTAAAGGAGAACTATGGGGTGAGTGCTTTTCACTCACCTCATAGTTCTAGCCGACCTGTGACAATGAGACTGTCACAGGCTGGCTCAGTAGATCGGGAGGTGAGCGAACACATACCGGTGTTCGCTCACTTCTCGATCCTGTCACGGCTCTCTGCTGTGACAGGGGAGGGGCTGGATTCCCCCCTCCCTGCTCCACCAGCGCTGACTGGTGGATCGGACGGGGAGGGGGCGGGTACAGCTGCCTCTGCCTCTAGATAGGCAGAGCCAGCTGTCACTCACGCAGCTGGGCGGATCTCGACATCAATGTCGGGATCCGCTCCGGCTGCGGCGTCTCAGTATACCGCGAGCTGTAGCTCGCGGTATACTGAGCTTAGGGTGACGGGAGGACGCTAGTTTGTGTCCTCCCATCACCCTAAGGAGAACTATGGGGAAAAACACTGACCCCATAGTTCTCCTTTAATAAAACTACCAGAATCTATAAGTTAAATCTCTCCTATCCTCATGTGCAAACCCCACCCCATCACAGGTAGCAATTCAGATCAAATTCCAAGACCCCTAGGGTGAAATGTGTTCATTTTGTGTATCCATTGGCCCTCTTTTTAAGGGAGGTTTGCACAGTATCACCACCTTTCCAAACTTTCATTACCTGTTCGATACCCATAAATCTCAGATGATTTGGATTGCAGATGGATTTTTCAGCAAAAATGGGCTAAAACACTGTGGGGGGGAATTTATCAAAACTGGATGCCATGCACAGCTGCTCCAGATTTGTTCTGCTCCAATCAGCTTCTCTCTCCAATTTGTTCAGTTTAGATTTGAAAATGAAAGCAAGAAGCTGATTGGTTGCCATACACAGCTGTTCCAGGTTTGATGAGTTCCCCTCTGTGACTTTTTAATCCTGTGGACGCATCTAATGTGTTCTTCAGTGTGAACATGTAAACGTCACTTTGTTCTCTCTCTATACTGGAGGGGACAGCTGCATTCTAGAAGATATATGACCATCGGAGTTGCAAGTTATGCATTGATTGCACATTAACCATTTAATCCTTTTCAACAACCCAAGTTCAGAAGTATGTCTGTAACTAATTCCTGGCCATGTTAAATGGTCAGCACTGTTTTGTTAAACAGCAGTTCTGTTTTGTTAAATACTTTGTATTAAAAGAAAAATCTTTAGTTTTCATCGGAGTGTTTGTTTCCTGACAATTTCTTATCTGTTAAAAATATATTAAGCTGCTCTAGTCTTTTGTATAATAATGCTACAAGTATAATTGTGCATTTCCTACATTCATTTCAATGTCTTTTTCATTCATTGCAGTATGACCCCTTCTACTCCCAGCATGCCTTAGTGTCCTAGGAGTGGGGATGCCTTTTCTCTTAAAGATATTTTCTTCATTCAAGCTTTCTGCTACATCTTTCCTAACCTCTATATGCAGCTATATAGAGCAGCCTTTCCTCAGTTTGACTTCAGAGTACTGTACCCAGACCCTGCTGGACTGGACATTGCACTAACCTGGAATGTGGCCTTTGGGCACTGGTCTCTGCACTGTGGTGTCATCCTCTGGGAGTGTCACTCTTTTTCCTGCCATTTAGCTGCTGCTGCTCCTGATTTTCAAGTGACATGTGAAACTCTACTCTGTTCAGCTCTGCTTCCTACCTACAGTGACTCGGTCACTTTTGGCCACTTAGCCCTACTCCTGCTACCCAGCATCCAGATTCATAAGTATCTATGGCCTTACATGAGCTGCAGTTGTATCCTACCTTGTGGTGCATCCTAACACATGGGGGACAGTCTTGCTGTACTGGGCGGCTTCAGCACATACTCCTCTAACAGGTTCGGTGCTGCCTGTAATGCACCCTGAGGTGCCTGACACCGCTGGTCTGGAATATCTTTGTAGCCACAGACATCCCTAGCCTTGTGGTGCGCGGCTGCCTTCTTTGCTCTATCGCGGGAGAATTTCCCTGCAATCATACAGGAGTTTATGCACATTTGATTGCCGAGTCTGATAGAGACCAGAAACGAACTTTCACACCTTCCTCAGAATCCTCGGAAGCTGCTGGCAGATCTAACACTCTCTCTGGCGCCGAGTCTCAGAAGTCATTAACTTACGAACCTTCTCTGGAAGTATTGCTGTTTTCTGCTATTACTGCAAAACTTAGAGATGAGTTTGGTCATTATTGACGAGGTGCACACCTCCTTAAAACTTGAACATCAACCTGCAGCTTCTACCAATGCTGTCCCCAGTCATGACCCTTTTAGGGCCTCCAAGCCAGCTAAGACCTTTCAGTGCCACCGCTGTTCTTCCTTTATGGAGACTGAAAGAACCCTGCAGCCTCATACTCCTTTCTGTGTATAATCTTAATAAACCGTTGCCCATTCCTGTAGAAAATGTACCTGCCTTTAAGGACTTTGCCAACAAATGGATGGAGGCCCTTTTCAGAACTCTGCTTTTTTTTTCTCTAGCAGGCCTTACAATATTTATCCTGGCCATGACAGTTTACCAAACCCTAGCTGTTTGGGCCAATAAGAAAGGGCCTGCTTACCATGGCAATTGACGCCATGATCATACACTGTCTGGAACTCATGCCTGCAACTTTAACCTACAGTGTAAAAAGGTTTTTTAAGGTCACCCATCTCCTCTGCTAGATGTGCCTTTCAGATGGGAAGGCCCCTCTAGCTGAACTGTGGAACCCACATTCAAGAAACACCTGCTTCTCGTGCCCTTCAATGGTCCAGTGTTTTCTTGGCGGTGCCCTTTAAGGATGTTACTTGGGGGGAAGAGCACTAATTTTCTCCAGCCCAAATTTAGGCTTCAACCTGGGAAGACTCACTCCTTCAGGAGGCCAAGAAGGGTCAATTTTGTTCTTCGCAGTCCTCAAACTTTCAATGTCAAACCCAGTAGGGATGTCCCAATACCAGTACTAGCATCGGTATCGGGACCGATACAGAGCATTTTCACAAGTACATGTACTTGTGAAAATGCCCCGATACATACCACCGGTACTTGCGCTATGTTTTTTTTTGTAGCTTCAGGCTGGCCAGAGGTGCCGCGCGTGTTGGGGATCCTCTGGGCAGTCTACCGGCCAGCTAAATTAGGACCCCACCTCCCACTAGACTAGCGCTGAAAGCAACTACGGGAGGAGGGATCGGAGAGCATGTAACATACCTGTCCGACCGTGCTGCGTCCTCTGAGTCCTGTGCCGCCCACATCCCTGACGTCACACACTCCTCCAGTTTTGAAAGCTCAGCCCCTCCATGTCTCCAGTGCGGAGTACTCTTCAGCTGTGTGCCTTGTATCCTGTTGTGTTTCTTGTTGCTGACCCCAGCTTGCTTCTGACTCTGCTGATCCTCCGGAATCCTGACCCTGGCTTGTCTGACGATTCTCCTGCGTCCTACCTGTTCCTGCACGTTACCGAACCCTGCCTGTTACCCGACTTTGTCTCTTGCTGCAATACCTTCCTGCATGTTGCCGACCAGGTCTGCCCGACTATCTTCTGCGCGTTTATGTTCCATTGTGCAGCGAAGTAGCTAACGAACTTGATCCACACACCCAAGTCTTCATCCGGCACACGTGCCCCAGAGTACCTCTATTCATTATCAGGCCTTCTAGGACCAGAGTTGCAAGGGAAGCCGCCCTCGTCATCTCAAGCTCCATCAGGTATGTGACAAAGATGCGAGAAGGCACCTTGGAAGACGTAAATTACAGAATATTAAAACATTGTGTCTCACTGGGCTTCTATTATGGCAGCTGACTTACAGCTTCACCCTAACCAATGATGGCATGTAATCTACACCAGGCATATCCATGTGCCTATGTGCACCTCTTCTGGCAAATCTGCTACTCCAGGCTCCAAAATAACCATGGCATTTTGTCACAATCTCTCCTGAAGGGGGGAGGGCAAACAGACAAAAAGTCCACTGTGAATCAGAAGTCCTTCCAGACATGGGGGAGGTCATGTAAAATGGCTAAGGATGACACCATAGTAGGGGGGGGGGGTGTCACAGATGTGTTTCTTTAGGGAATATGGTCTAATTTCCCCCCAGAACCAGTAGGGTTGTATGGGCTGTGGTTAAACGTAACGGGACAGTCCTCTCTGCTTCTTTGGGAAGATATGTTGTGCTGCAACTAGGCCTTATGAGTGGCAAGGCCTCAGGTACTGAAACCTGGGAAACTTGCTGATGAGGGTTTTAGGTGGCCAGAGGTAACCAAACCAAGCCACTGTAGGCATGCAGTGGAACGAGACCAGAGACTGGATGATCCATGTTCTGCTGCAGGAGCAACTGTGAGATGGTGCCATGGTAAATGGCAGGAAAGGATACCAGAGCACTCACGAGGACCATGCTACCTAGCAGATTAGGTAAGCGCGAGATCCCTCAGTCACAGTTACTGTGGTAAAAGCAAGTGGCAGGAATTTTTAAAAAGGCACCCTAAAGATGCAACAGGGAGGTAGCTCCTGGTGCTTTAGCCCAACTAGCCTTACCAAAATCTTGAAGTCAAGGGGGGGAAAAAAAACCACCACAAAGTAAGACAGCTATTAAAAAGCGAGACTTTTTGCATAGCCAAAGAAAACAGACATTCAACCTCCTAGGACACTAGCAAAAACTGAGGCATGCCGGATACAAAAGGAGTTCTACTGGGGCTGGCTTTTATCTTAACTTTCTCCCAACAAGCAGCAGTGCACTTCCTGGTGTCAGAGTGCCAAGGCACTTCTGTGTCTGTTCCATTAGCAGCCATCTACATAAGGCACATCCTGCCTATCAATTCCTTTGCCTGTGGGGACCAAGACACAAAGCTCCACCTCTGATCCAACATGTCCCTCCTGCCAGAATGAGAAAAGAACTGGAACCAGGCATAGCAAGTTGGACGTGCGTTACAGATCTGCTACAGAGTGCTAGCAAACTGCTACCATGTCAGCCTTGGACATCCACTAGCCCCTTTCAGAGAGTTAAGTCCATCCCTGGTAAGACTAAAATCACACGTTTGGTTTACAAATAAAATGAATGAATGCAGCTGACACCACCTTTAGATACAAAATGTTTGTTTATTTTTCCTACACAATGCGGCCACCTGTACAATTGTAGAAAAAAAAAGCTGTTTTTGGAGCAAACAGAACCAATAACGATGCTATACACTATTATAAGAACCCATTTAGAAGAACGTAAGGTGTGTTGGTGGGATCATATGCTGGGTTCATTATTGCACTGGTCTTACTGCTGAAAGGAGTTGCAGCAACAGAGAGAATAGTTCAGACTTGAAAATTAAGTGCTTTTAAAGGAGGACCAGGAAAGGTGTGCTGTGTTCTTTACCAAATGAGATAGTTTAGTCTAGTACAAGAAAGTTGTTCTTCACCCTGTGAGCAAAGACTGATGTAACAGATGTAACCAAACAGATTATAAACTGTGCAAAGTATGGCTGCCCCATTTATTGTTTTACAGTTTCTCGATCAGGATGGCAGAGGCTCCTCCCCCACCATTACAGATTCCAGCAACACCAAACTCTCCCTTCTTCAAAGCATGAGCCATGTGTCCAACAATCCTGGCCCCGGACATCCTGCAGAGAACAGATACAAAATTTATTTTTTTAGTATTATAGTGAAAACAGCACAATGGACAGTAAGGCAACCAGATGTCAGCTATAAACTGTTTAACCCTTTCATGATCACAGGGGTTCACCAACAGCTGCCAAGTAGCCCAGCCAGATACCATAGAGGATAAAGTGTATTTATAACCAAAACATCACGTTTTGGCTAGCATGATGAGGGGATAGACCCGGTCTGGTTTTTATTGCCATCACCATCTGGAAGATTTGCCCTCCATTTTTGTCCGTGTTACTATTGTCAATGGGACATATAAATGAGGGAAGTGTCAAAATATGGAGTTGACACCTGAACACAACTTCCCCAGAAGTGGGGAATTATTTGAATGTTCTTTTGACACCGTCTAGGTGGATTTCCCTCATTTTGGAGAGATTGTCTCTCGCTTCCGGTTGTGCCTACAGGACTGGAAGTGAAGGAATATCCCATCAATGGAACATGGATGGCTAAAATAAAGCCTGACAGTTTTAGGTTTGTCTCTACGCTATCCACAATGAAAGGGAAATTTGGGCTTTTTAATCCTTTCAAGTGACTGATCAATGACATACACTGCAGTAACACACCAGACCTAGATGATTTACAGGTTTGACTGCAGAACAGGGGATACAAGGCTTTGCTAAACCAGCCCACTGGTGGGGAAGCATTTCAGATCACCTTTGTCTCAAGTTTCAGACCTACTGAAGAAACCAAAAACTGATTGCAAAACCAATACAAAACAAAAAAGGTTCACCTACCCAATAGGATGCCCAAGAGAGACTGCTCCTCCATTGACATTAACTTTAGTAGGGTCAATATCCAACATTTTGATATTGGCCAAAACAACTACACTGAATGCTTCGTTTATTTCCCACATCGTAACATTGTTCTTCTTAACACCGGCAGCTGTTAGAACCTGAAGGAGGAAAGCAGACAAAGGCATAAGTAACATGATCAGGGATACTGACAGAATAGGGGGCTCAGTTTGGTATTAAGAAATTAATAAACACTCTAAACAACGTTTCGGGGTCTCACAGGGTCCCCTCCATCAGGCAAACAAGTGATCATCACTTGTTCGCTCGATGAAGGGCATCCTGATTGTTCTACCTGCAACTAGTACGTTAATAAACACGTACTGAACTTGCTTTGGGGTGCCAGTGGTCACCCTTTACTGATATTTTGTCGGAAGCCACCAGCTGACACCTGCTGCACCCACCTTCCATTTTTGGAGCAGCGGCTCTGAGTGCGATGGGTACACGGACTGTAGGCTTACAAATAAGAGACAACGTGCCAAAACAAGCATTAAAGTGAACCTGTGGGTTTGTCTATGGACAAAGTTAGCTTCACATCGACTGCGGAACCAGCAGCTGCACATACTCCCCTTCCATTTGTTCCCCCTGCCACCAGGTAATGGAGACGAGGTAGTCTGGTGAACATCCAGTCACAAATGTTAGAAGCAGTTTAATAAGGTTTTCTGTGCTTGTGTTCTTATAGATAAAGTGCATTTCTTGTAGTGTGCCGCAGAGAAAAGTAGGTCAACAATGTATACATAAAAAAAACTCCCACCTACAAAATTTATTAAGGCAAAATGCAACAAACACTTGATTTTCACCCTGTGTTGCGTCTTTGTGTTGCTGGTCTACTGCACCCGCTTCCTGTCTACAGGTACTTTAGTAGTGGATCATGCCTGCCGACTGGTTGTTGAAATAGCTACTTGTAGTCTTTGTCGGAAGCCCACGTGACAAAGTGCCAAAGCAGAGGCTTCATAGCGGGGCCACCAGATATTACTTTAGTGAAAGCTACAGATTTGACAAAAAAAAAAAAAAATATATTGAACATGTTAAAGCTCATGGGATTTTAGTGACTTGGTTTACATACACTTTAACCAGTATATGTATTCATTATGTACAGAATCTGGAGCTAGCCCATGTAACCAGAACAGCCAAACTCCATGTCACCCCATTTTATATACATTTTTCTCCTACCTTGGGAACTGCATATGCCGGGGCAATTGGAAAGTCAATTGGATCTACTGCAGCGTCCGCAAATGCTGTTTTCATTTGGAGAAGAAAAAAAATGAATAGGTTTTGTTGCATTATACCATTGCCTACTTCCAGGTCTCTTTAGCTTTTCTATTAAGCAAGCTGTTCTTAAATCATTTACAGTAGGAGTCTAGCTAAAAGCTTTCCAGAATTCAAGTGGGAACCGTAAATCTTTGGTTAGCGGTCTAATCCTATAATCAGTTAGCCCAGAGAGTCTGTATAGGATGAGGGCAGTATGCAGACATATGACTGATGTCCAATCATCTCATGACTTGGGGTAGGCTTAGCATTGTCCATGTGTCAGGGGACCCACCAGCAGCATAGTAAAGATCAGAGCAGGCAACCCCAAGTTTTGTGATTTTACCATTCGCAGTATCCTCCTGACACATCCAACTGTACCGAGGTATGGACATTCAGTAACCTGGACAGGAGTAAGTGTCAATGGACTACAAGTGCAGTGATGTCATCATACTTCTATTCCATTAAGAACTACAAGTCCCTCTGCTGCAGTTTTTCCATTCACAGATACTGTCTAAGGATCTTTGAATGGATGACACGGCTTTAAGTCATCAGAGCTGGATTTTTATATAAAAACTTTACTTATTGCACAATAGTGGCTTCATAAAATTAGCACTGCTACAAGTTTGTACTGAAAGTCCAAACTCTACATAAGGATACATGAAACACAACTTTGTTAAAATTGGAAAGGAGTTGCGAAAGGATTCCAGTTTATGTTGAAATATCTAAAAGCATGTGTAAGCAAAGCTAGGTGTAGTCCCCCAGTCCTGATCTTTACTGGAAGCTTCATATTAGGTTTTCTATGGAGTTGTATCTGGAGCCACTGTATGGAGCAGCTATAACGCTAAAGGCTGGGATATTTGTGTCTTCATGATTCATATTAGACCATAGTAGGCCAAGCTTTTTGAAAAGGGACGTTTTATAATCCTGGAACATGGAAAAAGGGTCAAAAGAAATTCTACCCTGGCAGAGATGGCCTTTTATTTTTATACTTTATTAAAACAGCCCTAACTATTACATACATACCCAAAATACGTGCCAGAGGTGTGACATTAAGTCTGGTTGCCGCTTCTGATGTCATGAGAACCAAAGCTGCTGCCCCATCATTCAGAGTGCTGGCATTGGCTGCTGTTACAGTACCTGACAACAGAGAGGGAAAAGCTTGTAATAAAAGGTATAACTACCGAGCAACTGACCTGAAACAAATACATGCATCATTATCCTGGGAACATGACACCAACTGATGAATAAGGAACTCACAAGTCCGGAATGGTAGCTCCCATATTACTTTTATGACTAGTCCCCTTTAAATTGAGGTTAAGTGGCTCTGTACTTTATTCATATAATATATAAGGAGTCAGTCTTGGCATAGGTCTACTCACCGTTTTCTTTCTGGAAGACAGTTTTAAGTTTTGGAAACTTGCTGAAGTCTACTTTTTTGTACTCTTCATCCTCTTGTACAACAAGATCAGGTTTTCCTGCAAAACATCCAGGTAACATTGTCATTTGTCTGTCTGCACAGAAATGTAGGGGGACAGACTAAAACATGACAAAGGGCCGATCATATGCATTTTATTGCATCAATACACATTCCAGGTAGGAATACCATTCAGTGCCAGGGAGTTAGTTAAAACTGATGCAGTGCAGCTCATGGAGGTTTACTTGTCTGACTTGTACTTTCATATTGAATATAAAACCTGCATTACATTTATGTGCACTGTCGAGTTTGGTTTTGTAATGCTAGTCCAATGTAGCCACAAAACGAAGCCTATAGCCAACTATGATGTAGACTGGCAAACAATTTTTTTTTTAACCACTTGAAGTCCGCGGTGTTTACACCCCCTTCCTGTACAGGCCATTTCTCAGTATTCAGCGCTGCGGTACTTTGACATTTTATTCCGTCATGCAGCGCTGTACTGAAATAAATTTTATACAATTTTTTGGGGACAGATAGAGCTTTCTTTTGGGAGGTATTTAATCACCACTGCGGGTTTTTATTTTTTACTATATTAAAAAAGGAAAAATGACCGAAATTGAAGAAAAAAAAACAAACAAAAACTGTTTCCCCTATATTAATGATAAAACATTTATTACCCAATTTTGTGGTAAAATATAAAAGGCGGGGTCACGTCGGACATCAAACATGTCAAGCCTTAAAATTGCGTGCGCGCACCCGCGAAACCTCAAAAAACTAAAATACCCAAAATTGGCCATAGGCGACGCTTTAAAAGATTTTACCGCTCATCAGTTTAGTGTTCTCAGTGTATCAGTGATTGATGTGTATCAGTGATTGATGGCACTGAAATGATTGGTCTCACTGCGACGTTCGCAGCGATATGTAACGTGTGTAGCGCAAAATTTTTGTTTTCGCACGCTGGTGCACCTGACGCGTATTTACGTTTATATGTGCAAAAACGTGGGGGTGGGGAACTTAAAAATGTTTGGGTTTTTTTTAAATTATAATAGCAAAGGCACAGTGACTGGTCCTCTTTATGGAGACATTAGGGGTCTCAAAGACCCCCGTCACCTGGGGACCCCAAAAGAAGCTGATGAAGCACAGATCTGCTTTATCAGCTTCTTTTCTCTGGCTATAGCAGCCAGATGATTGACAGGTGAATGCGCATTCACAATACAGAGGGAGTTCAGCAAGGAGGAAGATGCTGATCTCCCTCCCATCTTACCTCCTGACACCCTCCCTGGCCACCGATGGGGAAGCGGATCCCAGGATTGAAGGTGAGGGGTCGGGGGGGGGGGGGGGTTTCACGGAGCAAGCACATACACACGATCGGCAGGCTATAGAGCCGCCGATTGTGTATATATGAAACAGCCAGGCCAATGCGACTATGCCGTCCGTCCGTTTTTTTGCAACGGGCGGACGACAAGTGGTTAAACTTTGCATAGAATAGGGATGGGAAGGGCTAGAACTCATCATGTCTTTATTGCAGTCTGTTTTCTCAATGCAGAGAATGATTTAGCACATCAAATTGTCCTGCCAACTATTGTCTCAGGGCAGAAAGTGATTGGAAATCCAAAATCTTTAGAGGTGTCACTGGAACAGGAGCCAAGTTGTAATCTTCCAGTGGAGACATCCATTTTAGGGTTATCTGTCCAAAATATTTTTTACTCTTACTTGGTAGATTTCTTTTCACTTACTGTTGTATCTGTGACAGGAAGGGAAGTAAAATCCCCCAGCAGAACAGACCAGGACACATAAAATTGCTCAAAAAAGGAAAGTTTTGGCTTTAGCTAGGATTTAAACCCATCATCTAGGCCAGCAGCATTGTTGACTAGTAGCAACCCGACTTGGGTTTATAGTCGCTTCCTCCTAAGGACGCCAGACTAAACGGATTTGTTGAGAACAGGGAGTAGGACAGGGGTGATTGGTTTATTCTAGGAGGTGCACCGAAATAGAAATTTTAAAAACAGAACAAACAATTGTCAGGCTGAAACCGAAAATATATATATTTTTTTTTTTTACATTTTTTAAATATTTATTTTTTATAAACTTAAATGTTTTTATTTGTATTTATTCATTTTTTAGTAAATATTTTTTACTTTACTTTTAGGGGCTTGGGGGGGAAATATTAGGGGTCCAAACAGACGCCTAATATTTCCCTTTTAAAATAGAAAAAAAAAAGGATTGAGAACACAGAGTCCTCAATCTCTTTTTCTGCAGCCCCTGTTATCAATGAACAGGAATCCTCTATGTGGAACAGGAGGGGATGTAGATCACTTCCTATTTTCATTCATAATTGAGGATATAGTAACCATACCATGTGTATGTAGCCTGCTCTCCTCTGACACACGCTGTCACAGGAGGCTGAGTGAGCAGTGCGAGAGGAGAGCCCAGCCTCCTGTGACAGCGCCGTCTCCGCCCCCACACTGCTCGGCCGCACTGTGATATGCGGCCGAGCAGTGTGGGAGGAGAGACACCGGCCGCTTACAGCGCTCTCCACCCGCAGCGCTCGGCCGTCACTTTCTCGCCTCCCCGCTGGGACACAGAGCAGCACCCAGCGGGGAGGAAAGAAAGCGCGGATGCGCCGATGTATCGGCAGGAAAATGGCACTTTCGGCATTTAGCCAAAAGTGGCTGTTTCGGCGGCAGAGATATCGGTGCATCCCTTGTTTATTCATATGTGACCTATGCACAAAGCTTACAGCCAGGTACCTGCCGTGCCCAAATGAATGACATAAGAATACCAGGTTGTCTAGTTCAATTATTTCACTGTTTTGCAGACTAAAATAAAACTGGTAGAAGGGTTTTAATATTTCACAATGCTAAAAAGTGTCCGTTAGGCTGGAAAAAATGTGCCGGGTTTAGAATGAGATCTCTCCAGAGGACAGATTTAAGAATTGAAGCTTTCAACTTTGGCCTTCTAATACCAAACCATTTATTTTACTGTCCATCCAAAACATCAGCGACTAAAAATATTCCTTCATTGTGTTCATTGCCAGCTCTGTATAGTCACCTTTTTGTGGAATAGTAACAGGGGTGATCTCACTGGCCAACAGTCCAGAGTCCCAGGCAGCTTTGCTTCTGGTGTAAGAGCTGATGGCATAATTATCTTGGTCTTCCCTTCTGATATTTAACTTCTTGGCTGTGTTTTCTGCACAATTTCCCTGAAATACACCGCAAATGATCAGATACATGGATGCCTTGAGATTGAACTCTACAGCAGAGAATAATCAGTCACACAACAGGCTCCAAAAGAGATTCCCAATTGTATCCAATGCTAGTCATTCCCTGGGAGCTTCTCCAAAGTTCAAATCCCTCTATAGCTCCAAGAATGGCTGGGATATAGGCATGCTAGTTAAAGATCGTCACAAAAACTGTGACCATTAAAAACAAAAGCTTCCAATACCTAAAACAGTGTAAGCCTTTTATTTGGCAGAATGACGGCTAAAAAAAAAAATCCATGCCGATTACCACCAGATATATTGTCCCTTTCAGAGATAATCTGCTGGCATCACCGTTGCTGTATGGCTTTTGAAGGTATGGAGGCATGCTGCAACTAAACAGCATTGCCTGTATGAGGAGCGTGATCAGTCTGTAAGGGGAGTGCTGGATTTTACCATTCCTGATCTATCCAAGGGAATCAGCGAGTAAATCCGGGGACCTTTGATTGCAGGACCTGAAGGTTGCTCCAAGCATGGTGCTTGCATTTACTTCATGAACCTCACGGCATCTGCAGTAGGGATCAGCCATTTATAAATTACAGAGTGCAGAATTGGGGGCTGTATTAATGATGGAAGATTGCAGTAAGATTAAGTGGGGGATTTAGAACTGAACTATAATTGTACTCACTGCTGTCCAGTGTTGTGTTCTACTCCAGTATGACTTCACATTATGACAAATATGATGGGACCCCTTAAAGCACTTATGACAAATGTATTTTAAAAAGATTTATAAAAGATTTAGCCAATTCCTGATTTGTGAAGTGCACTTTTTTCCAAAGCCGTTTGAGAAAATTGTACACTTAACGAGAAGAGAAAAAAGACTCAACTCTGCATCAACAGCACAAGACTAAACACCACCGGGTATACATGTAGATTTTAGATATATTAAAATGCTGATGGAAATGTATAACTCCCCTTTAACGTAAATAGTTATAATTGTAGACTGAATGGAGATTCTTATACAAATCCAGCTGTGACTAGTTGTCACAGAGAACTAGTCACAGCTGGATTTGTATAAGAATCTCCATATATAAACCCAGAGTAAAGGAAATAGAGGGTGCCATCATTGTTCTAGTGTCCAGTAATGATCTGAATGCATCATTATTTTCTTTACATTTCTATTTTGTTTATAATCATAAATTTAGGCATTGGAGTTAAAAAAAAATAAAGAAAAAAATCAAACTTTAGGCACATTGGTACTCCTTGAAGATGGAAACAAAACCCACACAACTTCCAGTCCCACCCTCACTCCCGTGCTGGTCTCTCTCCCCCATAGCAGAAAGTCAGAGCAGATGCTGGCCGACGTCCAATCTGTTTTGATCGCTGTTGCAAAGGACCAGATTTTGTTAGGTAAAAACCTCCAATTTGCTGCCTTTGGACCAGGAGAACTAAACTTACTTTTTAACTTTAGGTGTTTTATTACCTAAACCGTTTTAGATATACACCTAATACTGCAACATACCATGTGGAATTTATTGTAGACATCAGTCAGTCCATCTTTCACTATTAAGTCTTCCAATCTTACTCCTCCGTATGGGGTGGCTCCTCTGCTCATGCAGTAAGGAACATTAGACATGCTCTCCATCCCTCCAGCCACCATGACTTCCTGTAAACATAGTAAATAGCCTTCCGTTAGAATGCTCACAACCACCAAATTCTAGCTTCATATAACTCCAGCCCAAAATGGAAAACTGAAAATGAGCACCACAACTGCAAGCAAGGTCCAATCTTCCGGTTCTTATTCATCAGTTTAAATGATCAGCCCTTCTCTTTAAATCTTTGTGGGAAGTGATTCAAGAAAATTGAGGAAGTGTACGCACTCCATACTCCTGTACATCTAAGCCACCAGATATTACAAATAAACTGTAACCTTGACTTTAGAATATTACAATTTGGATAATGTTTGTCCCGCCTTTGCACCAATTGTGGCGAATCATGATGGCAATTTTGCAGTCAGTCATTCTCCTATACTGGAGAGGTTTTTCAACTTATTTTTGCTACTCACGGATCCTTAGGCCTTTGGAGTGGAGGGGGGAAGAGAGGCTGCCGGAACCAGTATAACAGCCAGGCAGGGCTGAGGTTCCAGTGAATATATCGGTTATTTTAGATCCTAGACCATAACGTGCACCTAACCTCTGCAGTGGGACCACCACCGTGGGACCACACGCCCACCGCAAGGTTTAAGTTCAATTCTGCCCGGTTTTCTTTATTTATCTTTAGCTATTTACATGCCCCACATAATAGGACAACTCGTTTGTAAAGGTGCCCACATAACTTACAATTATCTGCAGATTTTCTGTGGCCAGATTGAAAAAGTGCAACAGATTGGCCCAGGTGGAGATTACTCCATCCACACAGTTAAGTGTAGATGGAGGAATCTGTTGCACCTTTTCCATCTGACCACAGAAAATCTGCAGATAATTGTAAGGCGTAGCACCAGCTTAACACTTGATACAATTTAAAAAACATGTCAGCAGTAAAAAAAAAAAAAAAAAGTAGGCTTTTCATTCCCCCAAAACATGATCTTTAAGTGGATTTACACTTGCAGGGGGGAGCAGGCATAATAGGGTACCTAGAATCATCAGAGCATGTATACGATGTACAGGATGCTTCTGGATTAGATTGAAGCCTTCCACACCTCCTCAGACCTGAATAACTACCACATGGGCTGATCCCTCACCTGGTGTCCACACATCAGAGACTGTGCTGCCAGCATAATAGACTTCATTCCTGAGGCACAGACTTTATTTATAGTAGTGGTGGGAGTGGAGATGTGTAAGCCTAAGAAATTGAAGAAAACCCAAAATATTATATTACAGAAGATTAGAAGGTTACTCAAGTTTATGTCATTTTGTGTAACACGCACTATTCCTCTTCATTTACACATTACCAATACAAACAATGGATCAATATCAGAGGCAGATCATCCATGAGGCAACATCCAGTGGATGCCATGGGGCCCAGACACAACCTTCATTCCCTGGCAGTAAGCCAAGAATCAGAGGTATAAGGGAAAACAAATGTGCTACCTTTACTAGGGCCCAATCTGCCTCTGACTTACCATTAGCAGGAAACTGCCTACATGCAGAAAATGTGATATCCATCAGGACCATTGGTGATTCAGTCAGAAAATGTAGGGGCTCACTGACTGATCCATACAATGACACCATTCATAAATGAAAGTTACAACTCATGAACTCATTAAAATATTAACAGTCACTTATAAAGCCATCCACAACTCTGCCCCCGGATATATATCTCAGACCATGTTTCAAAATATCACCCTAACCGTCCACTCTGCTCTTCCCAAGACCTCCTGCTTTCCAGCTCCCTGGTAAACTCCTCCCATACTCACCTCCAGGACTTCTCTAGAGTCTCTCCCATCCTCTGGAACTCTTTACCCCAACCTGTCCATCTTATCTCCCACCTTGACTGCCTTTAGGCGATCCCTAAAGACTCATCTCTTCAGGGAAGCCTATCCCACCTCAACCCAACCACTGAACTATCATGTTCTGAAACAATTCATCCCCACACAGCTAACTCCTCATGTATCACTTGCCCCTCCCTCTTAGATTGTAAGCCCTCAGGGGCAGGGCCCTCCTTACCATCTTGTCTTGAATTGTATTGTGATTGTAATGTCTTCCCTATATTGTAAAGCGCTACGCAAACTGTTGGCGCTATATAAATCCTGTATAATAATAATGAACTGAGCAGCTCTCTGCAGAAGATGAACACGTGCTCACTTTCTACACACATCACATTTCAGCTGAAATCTTGCCCACTGTGCAGCAAATGGGGGTCCGTTTGCTCAGCTCCACCAATTGCAATGACTATAGAATACCCATCTGCCAATGTTGTATTAAAAGTATGCCGAGGAGCAAAACCTATAGATTCAGTATATAAAGTGTGGACTACAATAAACTACATGTAATGAAAAGATTTGAATGCTGACTGCATGGCCAAAAATGAAGCAAGCCAAGGACAGGTCTGCAAATAAATCTATTAGATAAGATGAAATTATGACAAGCATGCAAAGCCACAAATGACTTAATAGCTGGCGCACACACAAAAAAAAATGTACCTGCACCAAGAGTGGCCTGTCTGCTGGGGGCTTGACCCTGTCCAGCCTGTAGGACATTCCCCATATAGACCTCATTCACCTCCTCTGGAGAAATACCTGTGAGAGAGGACTCTGTTAGTGCTTCTGTCAGCTGTACACAGTTGTCAGTACTGTACAGCTTAACAAATGTATGTTAGGGAAAACAAAACACACCCATATGTAGTACATATCTGCAATACAAGCACATTACCCCCGTGTTCTATCCCTTTAAAAACTCAGCAAAACCCAGACCAAGAAAAATACATCGGCGCATCCCAGGTTTCTTTTCTCCCCGCTGGGCGCTGTCCCAGCGGGGATAAAAGAAAGTGACAGCCGCCGAGCGCTGCAGGAGTCAGGACGAGAGCGCTGTGAGCTGCGGCATCTCTCCTCCCACACCGCTCAGCCGCCTATCACAGTCCGGCAGAGCGGTGTGTGGGCGGAGACATCGCTGTCACAGGAGGCTGGGCTTTCCTCTCTACACGGCTCGATCAGCCTCCTGTGACAGCGTGTCAGAGAGAAAAGCAATGTACACACACTCAGTGATCAGTGATCGCTGAGTGTGTGTACATAATTGAGGACCTGGTATGTTAACTATATCCTCAATTATGAATGAATGGGAGTGATCTACATCACCCCCATTCATTCATAATTGTAGTTATAGTAAACATGCCATGTACTCATGTTATGAATGAACAGGAACACTCAGAGGATTCCTGTTCATTGATAACAGGGGATGCAGAAAAAGACTGAGGACTGTGTTCTCAATCTCTTTTTCTATTTTAAAAGGGAAATATCAGAGATCTGTTTAGACCCATAATATTTCCCCGAAGCCCCTAAAAGTAAAGTAAAAAAAAAAAATATTTAATAAAAAATGAATTAATAAATAAATATAAAAAAAAATTGAAAAAAGTTTTTAAAAAAAATATTTAAAAAAATAAAAAACATTTTCGGTATCGGTTCCGGCCTGACTTTTTTTATTTCGGTTTCGGTTTTAAAAATTCCATTTCGGTGCACCTCTAGAGGGAAGCAAATGAAAGAAGATCATGGTTTGGTTTTTCATACATCAAGCCTTGTGTGATTCAGTACAGCAGGTGATCAGTTCTAGGCTCAGAGGTCAGAGGCCTGCTGAGGTCATCACGTACAATGCAGGCTATAGCCCTCCATTATACACAAGGGTGCCAAGGGACAGTCCACAAGCCTGAGTGTAGGGGAGACTAGCCAAGAATACGGTACATAAAAGTCCTATTCACCGTTCCCCCAGATATTAACCCATTCACTGCAGGGGTTGCTCCACTGCAAGGGGAGGGGTTCCCCCCCTCCCTAGTGATAGGCTTTAAGCAATGGCCACACATGGCTCACAATTCTCAAGACAGGTAGGTGGCCCTACATTCTCCAAACCGGTGTGGTGCCACATTTTTAGAAGTCTTTCTACTTACCTGCCTTTTCAACAGCAGCTTTAATAGCTATGGAGCCAAGCTTGGTAGCAGGAAAAGATGACAGGGAGCCTTGGAATGACCCTATTGGGGTCCTTACTGCACTAACAATTACCACTTCCTAAAAAGAGAAAAAAACAAATAGATCAAAAAGATAAATAGAAATAACAAAACCCTATTTGACATTAGACATGTTCCCATTTACTACATTAAGCGTGTGTGCGTATTCTATAGAGTACATATGGCTACTGTTAAACCATATCAGCCAGCCGTAGGGAGGCGAGAGCTGTAGGCACAGTGTGGGGTAAGGGAACCGTGTATCATGTATGCATGTTGATTGAACAATAGAGACATCTCTGATGTGAAGAATGAGGAATACATTTTCAGTCAGCTGGCTCCTAGACTTGGAATGAGTGAACAGATCAGAGATGTGTGCGAGTCCACATTCATACTATATGTATTCTCTGGTAGCTCTTCATGGTCCACAGAAGTCCCATACTCACATTGAGGGAGCGCTGTGATGAATACGCTCTGTGTACATACTTTACCTACAAGAAAAGAAAAGCAGGACATCAAACCTGTGACATGGAACTTTGCTTTTATTATAATGTCAAATAATACCAGGAATACAATTGCCACATCCTCTCATAACACACACACACGCGCACTTCTTATCAGTCCACTCAATCACTCAACTAACTTCTCCAGCATCAGTTCTATTGCTTTCAGGGATGAACGTTAATTGCAGTCTTGCAGTTGTAGCGGCTCCTCTCCTGTGCTTGAATTGCTGACTATGATTTCAATGCATACTGTCAGCTTCTCACAATGTGTATTACAAGCTGCAATTCAGATAGAGCCAGCCCCATTTACTGACTTGAGGACATCCAGCTCTCTTTTTATGCTGGTCCACCTCTTCTATTCATTAGATTTTAGTTCTTTCAACACATGTGGATGTTACTTAGGACAGTCTTCATCCAAAAGCAACCCTCCTAGAAATTCCCATATCTCAGGCTGACATTCACCCATTAAAGCATTCTGATATTTGCATACCTCCTCCCAAGAGCCAGCCCATGGCCTGCATCTGACTGAGCACTAGAGAACTGAGGCAGGGTGCCATGATGTTTTCAAGAAGTTATGTACAGGACCCTGCCGGCCCCTCCAACTAGTTATGCCGGTATTGCATAGAAAAGCAGAGCCCTCGTGATTTTCTCATTAGGTCTAAAACAGGATACTGATAAAGGAAAAGTTTGACTTATAAATCTAATTAGCATATTGATGAGGGGGAGGGTAGAACCAGGGAAGGCAAATACAAGCAGAACCAACTTTGCTTTTTTTATGATTTTGGATTAAAACTAATCTGCGACCTTTTCAATTATAATGATGCTGCTATGATCCAGATGCAGCCAGAGAAAACCCTGTGTAGCTGGCTGGGCAGTGAGTCTATGCAGCAATATTCCATCATTCAATTCTTCAGCACACTGAAGTCCAAATAAAAAAAAAGGGGGGGGATTTGACATTGAACTAAAGCCGCCCATCAGATTTAATATTCTGGGAAAATAAAGAATCATTTTGGTTTTGGATCAGCCCTGTTAAGGTTAATGATCCTGTTCGTGTGATTCAGGTTACACCATGACCCCAGCTTCTCAGTCCTCCTGCTTCCCGCTACATCCACTAGAAGGAACATTTGCTTCATTTAATAAGCGAAACCCAAATAGTTTGTGGGCCCCTGCCCTGACTTTAGTCCCTTTGCTGTACTTCTGACAAATACAGATCTACAAAAACAGCCAAATTCCACTGACATCAGTAGAAGATGGGCCGTAGCTTTCTCCATACTGGTCCTCATAGATGGAATTGTGTGGAAGAGTCTGAGCTGCCCCACAGCAAACTATCTTCTCCATAATTACTTCCAGGGAAGATCTCACATATCCTTTATACCACTCAGAGGTCCCATGCCTAACCTCCAGTCTCAGGGGCCATCAACCTCCAGGTTCTGTCACTTCTCCCACAAACAAAAGTACTGAAGCCGCACATTGCTGATCCCTTACATAGGAAAACGATATTGTGTCATCAGTGACAAACGCTCCATCCATGTCCTTCCTCGGATACATTTCACACGATACTGGAGCTCGCTCTGCCACTGCTGACTGAACATTTGTATGCAAGGGAAGAGCAGTGCGAGTCTTCACTACTTTTCTAGGGAAGTTCTTAGACGGCAAGAGAAGCCGAGTGGCTGCTTTGGGCCCACTGCGGTTCACTGTGCGTTTAGACACATTTCTATCACAACCAGCAAGAACTTTTTCAGCAATCTGAGCAGCTTCTATTGGATTGGACTACACGGGCCAGCGGTCACACCCCATTTGCATTAATGAGCCTTGGCCACACATGACCCTGTCGCCTGGTCACCAGCTTTCCTTCCTAAGGCTGGGCACACACCTTACAACCATCGCAAGACTTTTGTCTTGCGATGGTTGTAAAGGTACTTTAAAAAAAAAAAAACGTACGATCTGCCTATCTTGCATAGGCAGATTGTACTTGCGATGATTGCAAGCCACGCCCCCTGAGGGGCAGGCTTCCGATGACCGCAATGCCGAACAGGCAGTGTGCGCTTGTGCACACGGGCCCGTCCGGCTTTTATCTTACGAACATGCTACACACCCGCCGAACATCGTACGATGATCGGCAGGTTTTCGAACATGTCCGTAAGTTAAAAGTCGTGCGACCTTACAGTAGTAGAGGTCGCACGGCTTCCACACACCTTACGATAATCGTATGACCGCGGGATTTCCCACGATTATCGTAAGGTGTGTGGGGACCTTTAGACCACATTTTGTAGGTCCTGACCACTGCAGACCAGGAACATCCCACAAGAGCTGCGGTTTTGGCGTTACTCTGACCCAGTCATCTAGCCATCACAATTTGGCCCTCGTCAAAAAGTTGCTTGAATTCTTACGCTAGCCTGCTTTTTCTGCTTCCAACACAATCTTCATGGACAGAAGGTTCACTTGCTGTCTAATACATCCTACCCACTTTTAGGTGCCATTGTAACCAGATAATCAATGGTATTCCCTTCACTTCTCTGGTCAGCTAGTGATCCAGACAACCTTGCCACATGGAACAAGCAAGTCTGCTCTGTGATATTTATGGAGACTACACTGATTAGGTCATCCTTCTGCTCCCTCTACCACCCGGAAGCTTCCAGTGATAAATGGACATCATTGTGTACTGCAGCAGAACCTGTCGAAGATTGCTGCTCCTTCCTCCCACTTCAGTAAAATTTAGCAGACTACAGGAGGTGGATATGAAGACACGTTTTATATTTTGGTGGCTGTATATAAAACATTGAATGTAATCTTTTATTGCACAAGACGCACTACATCCATCGTTTCTATAGAAGTCATACCATACAGGTTAGTATGTTCATCTTTACTGCACAAGACGCACTACATCCATCCTTTGTTTCTATAGAAGTCATACCATACAGGTTAGTATGTTCATCAAATGTTATAATCAGGGCTGGTGTTCATCCTACACAGACATTTGTAATTTCCTCCAACATATGACCATACAAAGCATTTAACAATCCTGCATACAACTTGGAGGTTTCCATTGTGTACACAGGGCTCCATGTTTATTTCACTGACAGTATAATGTAATGGATCCTGCACATTTGGCTGCAACCACCAGGCAAGCCGAGCAACGACTAAGCAATATGAATATCAGATGAAATAGGCGGGTTCATGAGCCAAGAGCAGATGACTTGGCAGACCCCCTCTGAACCTTCATGCCAATTATATAGTCAAAGCTCTGGCAGGGACTATAAAGACACACACCTCATCTAAACAGGTTCCAAAGCAATGAAAACGAACCAGGAACTTTTTTTTTCTTTCATTATGGAAATGATCTTGATGAGGGACGACTACAGAACATTTTGCAAATTCATAGCTTTCTCTATTGTGAAGAAACTGCTGCTCGCCTTAGCACACTTACACTTACTGATGTATAAATGGGCGGCTTCGATTCAGTGTAAGAAAGCCAAAACCTTCATTTGTTTTAGTTTCTGGCACAGCAGGGAAGGAAACTGCCCTGGTCTATTACTCTTTGCTGTCTGTGTCCTATTAGGGGCATTTCCTTCACTTCCTGTCCTGAAGAATCAACAGGAAGGGAGATGAAACTCCACAAAGTGAACAGAATTCCCCTCTCAGGGCCGATTCACACCAGCTACTGCACTAAACGCACAGCAGCTGGTGTGCGTTTCCTGACAGTGCCGATGCACCGATTCCGGGAACATTGCACTTTTTTTTAGATGATCTTTATTGAAATGTCACAAGTGACCTTTTATTCAGTTCTACGGGCACAGTGGGGTGCAAGGTGGCTATACTGCATTGCATTGCATCCCGCTGCGTTGAAAATTACAGCATTCCATACTTTTGTCCAGCGCACACCAATGCGTTCCCATCACAGCATGGTGGTGTGAACCAATCCATGACAAGACAAACTTTCATCTTATGTTGGGGGCTGCACCGGAAACGACAAGCGCAAGATCAAAAACGCACATTGCGTGAATCGGCCCTTAGACATTGGTCACCAGAACAGATGTTCTTCTATATATATTTACCCCTTGCCTCTTGGTCCAGAGACAGCTCTAACATTCTGGATTTCTGATCACATGGGGTCTCAGTCACAAAAGTCACCTGGACAAATACAGAGGGGAAATCAGCCTGGGTAACCATGGGCACATGCCCCACATCCCTGACTTGGTGCCCTAAGTCCATGACCACTCACTGGGGTTCTTGTCTATTTATACAGCCCTCAGCTTCTTTCCCCAACCGCAGCCTTATAGTCCTGTGCATGCTGGAAGGAAGTTCTAGGCTCCTGCTTGGCTCTGGAGATTCGTATGACAGCCGAGGAGAGACCCGAGAGGATTTTTTAGTAGTGATTTTTTTGACATAGGGTGTGGAGAAAGATTTATAAGGGAGGATTTCGTCTTTTGAGAGGGAATTTGTTAGAGCTGCAGCTAACGATTATTTTCAAAATCGATTAGTTAGCCGATTATTAAGTTCGATTAATCGGATAAAAAATAAAATAAAATACATTTTAAAAAATGGCTCCAGTGATGGGACTACTAGTTTGTATTGAGATTGTAGTCCATCACAGGAGCAAGCTTGGAGCGGTGGAAGAAAAATAGAAAAAGTGTGGTGTGCAATATAGTGAAATGGAAAGTGTAAAATTATACAGCAATGAATGCAGAATGGCACCAGTTATAGAGGACTACAAAACCCAGCAATAGTACATTATACAGCACAATGCAGAATACCGCCAGCTATAGAGGAATACAACAAATCCCAGCAACAGTACATTATAGCTGGCGGTATTCTGCATTGCGCTGTACTATTGCTGTGTTTTGTAATCCACTATAGCTGAGGCGGGGAGGAGGTGCGGCGTGTGGAGTGTGGATGTGGGAGGGTGTGTCTGGCACGGTGAGCGTGAGGAGGGGAGGAGGTGCGGCACGCAGCGTGTGTGGAGCCGTGAACAGGGCCACCTAATCGGAAGCCGATTAAGCGATGATTGAAAAAGTTGACAACTTTTTCAATAATTGATTATAATCAATTTAGTCGATTAGTTGTTGCAGCCCTAGAATTTGTGGTGCGTGTATGTGTGGTGTGTTAAAAAAATTACAGCATTCCATACTTTTGTCCAGCGCACACCAATGCGTTCCCATCACAGCATGGTGGTGTGAACCAATCCATGACAAGACAAACTTTCATCTTATGTTGGGGGCTGCACCGGAAACGACAAGCGCAAGATCAAAAACGCACATTGCGTGAATCGGCCCTTAGACATTGGTCACCAGAACAGATGTTCTTCTATATATATTTACCCCTTGCCTCTTGGTCCAGAGACAGCTCTAACATTCTGGATTTCTGATCACATGGGGTCTCAGTCACAAAAGTCACCTGGACAAATACAGAGGGGAAATCAGCCTGGGTAACCATGGGCACATGCCCCACATCCCTGACTTGGTGCCCTAAGTCCATGACCACTCACTGGGGTTCTTGTCTATTTATACAGCCCTCAGCTTCTTTCCCCAACCGCAGCCTTATAGTCCTGTGCATGCTGGAAGGAAGTTCTAGGCTCCTGCTTGGCTCTGGAGATTCGTATGACAGCCGAGGAGAGACCCGAGAGGATTTTTTAGTAGTGATTTTTTTGACATAGGGTGTGGAGAAAGATTTATAAGGGAGGATTTCGTCGTTTGAGAGGGAATTTGTTAGAGCTGCAGCTAACGATTATTTTCAAAATCGATTAGTTAGCCGATTATTAAGTTCGATTAATCGGATAAAAAATAAAATAAAATACATTTTAAAAAATGGCTCCAGTGATGGGACTACTAGTTTGTATTGAGATTGTAGTCCATCACAGGAGCAAGCTTGGAGCGGTGGAAGAAAAATAGAAAAAGTGTGGTGTGCAATATAGTGAAATGGAAAGTGTAAAATTATACAGCAATGAATGCAGAATGGCACCAGTTATAGAGGACTACAAAACCCAGCAATAGTACATTATACAGCACAATGCAGAATACCGCCAGCTATAGAGGAATACAACAAATCCCAGCAACAGTACATTATAGCTGGCGGTATTCTGCATTGCGCTGTACTATTGCTGTGTTTTGTAATCCACTATAGCTGAGGCGGGGAGGAGGTGCGGCGTGTGGAGTGTGGATGTGGGAGGGTGTGTCTGGCACGGTGAGCGTGAGGAGGGGAGGAGGTGCGGCACGCAGCGTGTGTGGAGCCGTGAACAGGGCCACCTAATCGGAAGCCGATTAAGCGATGATTGAAAAAGTTGACAACTTTTTCAATAATTGATTATAATCAATTTAGTCGATTAGTTGTTGCAGCCCTAGAATTTGTGGTGCGTGTATGTGTGGTGTGTTAAGGAAGGGGGAGGGGCACTTTTGCAAACTGCTGCTTTAAGGATCTTGCACTGTTATAATGGTGGCTGTGGCCGTGTTGCACTATGATATGCTGACTAAAGAGAAGAGAACCTGATCAGTCATTTGCTGCTCCTGCACAGTCATCACAGGCTGTGGGCAGCAAGGTGAACAAGCTGTGTTTTCCTAACTACAATAAAGAAAGGTCAAGTCAGCAACCTGACTGTGCTGTCTGGCAGGGCTTTGTAAATCTTAGGACTGGATGCACATAGTTACAATCCCTTTGTCGGGTAAAGCAGCGACCGTATATGTATTTTACTCGTGTGTATATATTCTGCCCAGTGTACAGCTTTAAGGGAAACAGAAAAATGGCTCATTTACTCAAGTGACTCACAAACCTTACAGCACCAATCATGGTGTGCTGAGGACAAAGGTCATAAGTAGGTAACAGAGGGTAATGCAGAGGTCAGCAGCAGGCAACGGAGAGTGCAGGGGTAAGTAATGGCATGTAGAGTGGAGGGGTCAGGAGTATATAACGCAGAGTGCAGGGGTAAGTAATGGCATGTAGAGTGGAGGGGTCAGGAGTATGCAATGCAGAGTGCAGGGGTAAGTAATGGCATGTAGAGTGGAGGGGTCAGGAGTATATAATGCAGAGTGCAGGGGTAAGTAATGGCATGTAGAGTGGAGGGGGTCAGGAGTATACAACGCAGAGTGCAGGGGTAAGTAATGGCATGTAGAGTGGAGGGGGTCAGGAGTATATAACGCAGAGTGCAGGGGTAAGTAATGGCATGTAGAGTGGAGGGGGTCAGGAGTATATAACGCAGAATGCAGGGGTCAGGAGTACGTAACACAGTGTGAGAGTGTGTAGGGTGGTCAGGAGGCAGTAATGCATTGCAGGGGGTCAGGCGTAATTTAACGCAAAGTTCCACAGCACAAACTGCAACCCCACCCCCACGTTCACTCATTAGGCCTCAAATGCAGTGGTGCCCCGGAGAGTCAGGGAAGTCCTTCCAGGGTCCCCCCTTAACTGTATCATATGAAACCTCAGAGCTGTGGAGGACCCTAGGACTGATTGGAGGACTGAGTGGCAGTGGGCAGGTAGAGTACGGAGCTGGTAGCACAACATGGTCTCGATCTACCTGTCACACGGCTTCAACCACCCCTGATCTAGAGGTTTCAGCAGTCCATGAGAAAAGCGGGTCTGTTATATCCCCAGTGGTGAAGCAGAGAGAAATGTGATAATAAGCACTGAAGTCCTTGGAAGATATAAAGCCAATCTGGGATTCTTTGTGCAGCAGTGTGCAGGCCTCAGCGAGACAAAGTAAGGAGTAGGATTGTGCATGTTTGTCCTTGGCTTCCCCTGTGGGAATGCCCCCTCCCCTCCTAGCACACCTAGAAATGTAAAGGATTTATATGAAGCATTTTCTCTGTGTCGCTGCAAGTTCTGAAGGTGACATCTGTGTGCCCTTGGCTATACCTTACCTTCCAAGGAGGACGCACAAGAATGTGATACATTTGTCTCGTTACAGTTCCCAGCAGTTTGGACCTTGTTCTGTCACACACAATAACATACAGATTCTTACATTGTTACACTTATTTATTACAAACTATCTAGTTTTATACATACGCCTCACATGAAGGGTTAATGTACAGTAACAGACCCCTATCCTGAGGGAGACATGGGCACGGTCATTGCCACATTCAGAAAATCCTGCTCACCTGGCTGTCATGGTTGATATTTTGGGCAGTACTTTGGGGGCACTAACCCGGAATAAGTATTCAGATGGGAACAACTACAAATCCCATGAGGCATTGCAAGATAGACACAGGCATGACTCCCAGAGGCATGGTGGGATTTGTAGTTTGCCCACAGCTGGAGTGCCAAGGTTGCCTACCCCTGTAATGCACTCCTGCTGGGATGTCATTCCATAGGAAGAGGGGGTCTCTTGGGTCAGCTATCATCACCCTGACTTTAAGCCCCCATTCAGACATGTAAAGCAAACTCACCTTTTTGGTACATTTGCATTCATTTCAATGGGCTGCCCCAAGTGTGACACAGAAGATCATGTATTGTCACACGTATGTTGCAGGTTTGTCACACGTCTTCCTTGCCATGTTTGGGTGCCATTAACAATAAATTGCAGCAAATGTTTTGGCGCACACACAAAACCTCTGCACTGGTGTAAGTGGGCACCAAAACTAATCTGTAGGAAGGTGTAGCATGAAGGGAAACATAGAAGTTGAACAGGTGGAAGGAGCTGACAATTACATTGGGGTCTAAATGACAAGTAGTGCCCCCCAAACTCTGGGGGAGACCTTCAGCTGACCCAAAGGCATCATTGCCCCAGCTGGCCACCCTCTGCTCAGGACACAGTAAGGCAACCTCTACAATAGTCTTTGGTAGTCAATGGAGTTGGTGGTCACAGAACGCCCATGGCTGGGTTTGATTTTGCTGGTGCACGGAGCTGGCAGGCCGCCTATAGACTTCCATAGGGCAGTCAGCTGGATACTCACTAGAGCCGGGCGCACGGTACACAAGGCCATGTCCGCAGATCGCACTCCGCCGGATTCCTGTCACTTTTGCGAGTCACCTCTAAACAATACAGCGCACCACGCCTCCACCGCTGGCCAATCATCAGCCGTACGCTGACCTGCCTCTACATATGTATTGGCTGATGATAAAGAGGCGTGACTTATGGTTGAGAAGCTCCGCATTGGATGATAGAGGCCCTGGTGGTAGCCGTGGAGATTTTCCGGCGGCAACAGCGGCCATATTTGATCCTGGCAGTTTGGCTGGGTAACCACATAGTAGTACATTGACTGAATGCCAGGTATACAGTAATCTTTTACATAAAATACAGTGAGTAACAGCCAGGTCCCTCGTGTCATTTCTAATTTAAGTTGAAAATTAAAGATGATATGTAATGTATGAAAACAAGTCATCAAGAATTTGTCCATTTGTGGCTAACTTAGCGTCGCCACCTTTTCTTCAAGGGAAACCTGAACACCCTAGCACTCTGCGGCAGGTTTTTGATGGAGAATATACAGGAGGGAGCGAGGAGAGACAGCCAGGAGAGAGAGAGAGAGAGAGAGAGAGAGACAGCCGGGGAAGAGAGAGAGCAAGGAGAGACAGCCAGGAGAGAGAGAGAGAGCTGGGAGAGAGCGAGGAGAGAGAGAGAGGACAGAGAGAGAGAAGAGACAACAAGTAGAGAAAGCAAGGAGAGACAGCCAGGAGAGAGAGACAGCCGGGGAAGAGAGAGAGAGCAAGGAGAGACAGCCAGGAGAGAGAGAGCAAGGAGAGAGAGCGAGGACAGAGAGAGAGAAGAGACAACAAGTAGAGAAAGCAAGGAGAGAGAGAGAGCGAGGAGAGCCAGGAGGTTGAGCAAGTAGAGACAGCAAGGAGACAGCGTGAGGGGAGAGAGCGAGGAGAGACAGCAAGGGGACAGCGTGAGGAGAGACAGCAAGGGGATGGAGAGTGAGGAGAGACATCCACAGTAGAGAGCGAGGAGAGACAGCCAGCGGAGAGAACAAGGAGAGACAGCCAGGAGAGACATCCAGGGGAGAGAGCAAGGAGAGACAGCTAGGTGAGAGACAGCCAGGAGACACAGACAGGAGGATGAGTGAGGAGAGACAACCAGGAGAGAGAGCGAGGAGAGACAGCAAGGGGACAGCGTGAGGAGAGACAGCAAGGGGAAAGAGCGAGGAGACAGCAAGGGGATGGAGAGTGAGGAGAGACATCCACAGTAGAGAGCGAGGAGAGACAGCTAGGAGACACAGACTGGAGGATGAGTGAGGCGAGAGAGCGAGGAAAGACAGCCAGGAGACACAGCCAAGAAGATGAGCGAGGAGAGACAGCCAGGAGGAGGAGCAAGGAGGGACTGCAAGACAGAGTGAGGAGGGACAGCCAGTGGAAGGAACACGTAGAGACAACCAGGAGAGAGCGAGGAGAGAAAGCCAGGATGGTCAGCGAGGAGAGACAGCCAGAAAATTAAGGAGAGACAGCCAGGAAAGAGAGCAAGGACAGCCAGAAGAGAGAGCAAGGAGAGAGCCAGAACAGAGAGTGAGGAGAGACAGCCAGGAAAGAGAGAGGAGAGACAGCCAGGGGAGAGATAGCAAGCAATACATCTACCTGAAGCAGAACTCCTGTGCCCTTCAAGACTTATCTGCACCTTGTGTTTCAGACACCTCCTTGCTCCCAGTGTTCCAGCGTCCCTCTGTGTCCCATGTCTCCTCCATGCCCTCAAGTTGGAACACCAGGGCCCCATGGTTGCCCCATGTCCCAGACATCGTGACATCTTGTGTCCAGGTTTTCAGCTGGCCTGAAATGCAGACACAGCACATACAGGCTCAAAACCTGGACAGTCTGTCTTAATCCAGGACAAGTGGCAACCCTAGGTCAAGTCTACAATTTACTTAGGAGTTAATGAAACATGTTGCAACTTATAAAACCAATGTTTGATGCAATCTTACCAAATTATGACTACAATGATCCTGTGAGCCCGCCTATAATGAGGCAGCCCGAGGCTGTTACTTCCGGTGGCAGCTGTTCTGTGCAGTAATGTACTGAGCTCAGGCCTACACCATGATGCACTTCAGAGGGCGGGTCCATAGCACCCTGGGCTCACAGGAAGTGGGTGACAGTGGACCACGGATCAGTGAGCTACTTTTTTGTTTTCCAAACTGCACAATTACAAAAAAATATATAATTTGGCTTTAATATATTACACAATTAAAACATAGACTACTTGTTTTCCAGATCTACTCAGCACATGGAGCGACATTTCCTTTAACTGCACAATGTTGAGTAAGGGATAAAGAGAGTGGGGGAAATTACTAAAACAAAAATTTCCCAACTTTGTCTCATCTGGAGCCCAGCTAATCAGCTTTTAAAATGTCATTTTCTAAGCTGTGTGGGAAAAATAAATGATAGAAGCTGATGGACAACAGCACCAGTTGAGATGGACTTTGTCTTCAACACTTTTTATTTAATTCCCCTCTAATATGTTGCTGATTTTAGGATGGAGGGTCAGTGGTATGTGTGGGAAGGATACCTTCTGGTACACTATAAATCTAGAATACAGACAGTAATATTTCAACTTACAATATGCTGCTGGGTCAAGGGTTGGAGGATTTTAGACATCTGCGATTTATTTTGTTCCGAATTGAAATTCATTCGCATTTCTGTAAATTCGGACATTTGGATGCATCTGAATTTCCAAATACACATGAATTTCATTCGGAGTGAAACACAACAAGCGGGAGATCTGTCATTTACGGCTCTTTTTGGCTTCTCTGCACTTTGTTGACGTTCTGGACTTGTACCCCGAATGAAAACAAAGTAACACAATATTGTTACAAAATGTAAATAATGAAAGAAGCTGAGAGATCTGTGCAGGGCTGCCATCAAGGGGGGGGGGACGGCTGATACTCATGTAAGGAGCCCGGGCAGCCTGGGGGCCCGCTCGGGACCCTTACATGAGAATTGGCCGACGGTGACAGGAGAGGAGGCGGTCGGGCCCTAGCAGCACCGGGCCCCAGCATTGCCGATCCAGCGGCATTGGAGCAAGCTGGGGCCCCATCGGCGCCGCTGCTGTACTGATCTCGGACCGGCCCGAAGTGACATCACATCACTTCTGGCCAGTCCAGCGGCATAGGAGGCCAGAGGAGCAGGTAAGAGGAGCTGGGAGGGAGGGAGATGCAGCCCTGACCAGCCCACCTGAGACCCCTGCAGAGCCCACCAAAGAGAGTATCCAATGGGGTGTGCAGCATCTCTGGTGGGCTCTGCAGGGTTACTCTCAGGTATGTGTGAGGTATGAGGTGGGTCCTGCGCCAAGCGCGTCACTAAGCTCTGAGACCAGCGCGTCGCTAAGCCCTGAGTCCAGCGGGTCGCTAAGCCCTGAGTCCAGCGGGTCGCTAAGCCCTGAGTCCAGCGCGTCGCTAAGCCCTGAGTCCAGCGCGTCGCCAAGCCCTGAGTCCAGCGCGTCGCCAAGCCCTGCGTCCAGAACGTCGCCAAGGCCTGCGTCCAGCGCGTCGCTAATCCCTGCGTCCAGCACATCGCTAATCCCTGCGTCCAGCGGGTCGCTAATCCCTGCGTCCAGCGGGTCGCTAATCCCTGCGTCCAGCCCGTCGCTAATCCCTGAGTCCAGCGCGTCGCTAATCCCTGCGTCCAGCGGGTCGCTAATCCCTGCGTCCAGCGGGTCGCTAATCCCTGCGTCCAGCGGGTCGCTAATCCCTGCGTCCAGCGGGTCGCTAATCCCTGCGTCCAGCGCGTCGCTAATCCCTGAGTCCAGCGCATCGCTAATCCCTGAGTCCAGCGGGTCGCTAATCCCTGAGTGAAATTCATATACTGTTCTGCATTGCTGTACAAAAAAGATTGCTGGGATTTGTAGTCCCCCCTACAGCTGGTGCCATTCTGCATTAGAGTGTAAGCTCCTCTGTATGATTAAAAAGGACAATGTTGTCAGCGTTTTTCATCATCGATTAGTCGGCTTTCAATTATGTGCCCGTTTGTGGCTCCACACGCGCCGCACGCTTCGTACCGCGCACCACACCCCCTCCCCCCCCTATACACTTTCCATTTCACTATATTGCACACCACACTTTTTTTTTTGCTTACACTGCTCCAAGCTTGACTGATGTGACTGGCTCAGTGTTCTCTGTACAGCACTGCGGTATATGTCAGAGCTATATAAATGTATAATAATAGTGTGTGACTGTGGGAGGACATTAGAGTGTAAGCTCCTCTGTACAGAGACTGATGTGACTGGCTCAGTGTTCTCTGTACAGCATTGTGGTATATGTCAGAGCTATATAAATGTATATTTTGCTTCTTTGTGGACACTTCGTCCCCAATGTAAGGAATCTGACAGCTGTCATAGAATACACACGAGTGTTTAACAATTCACAGAAATAATAATAATAATTAAAAAAAAAACAGCATGGGGTCTCTCCCCTCCAATTCTTACCAGACCCTTTCGGTCGGATAGAAATATTAGTGGGTGACCCCGATGTAAAAAAAACAAAACAAAAGAGTGTGGTTTCCCCAACAATTCTTACCAGACCCTTTAGGTCTGGTAGGAATTTGAAGGCGGAACTCCAACACCAAAAAAATGAAAAACAAAGTGGGGTCCCCCCTAAAATCCCATATCATACCCTTAATCCGGACAGCAGCCTGGCAGGGCAGGAAAGGGGGGTATGAACGAGCGCCCTTCCTCCCTCCCTTCAGCATGTCAGGCCACAGGCCCTTGGCATTGGGAGCGTGCTTTTCCAGGGGGAGACCCCCTAGAAAAACACCTTGTCCCCATGTCGATGGGGACAAGGGCCTCTTCACTGGGTCAGGGTTGTGGGGGTCTGCGGGTGGGGCGGAGGGGGGTGTCATCTGCATCTGGGTACCCTCTTTCAGAAAGGGAGCACCCAGATACCACCCCCCGTGAATGAGTAAGGGGTACTAGTAGCCCTACTCATTCACCAACGAGGTAAATAAAATGGGGGGACCCCACTTTTATTTCTAATTTTTTGGCTTTGGAGTTCCCCCTTAAAATTCC